GAGGGGGAGCTGTGGGAGACTCGTAGTTTCCCTAAACTGGGCGGCAGCGACTGTCTTCGTGTCCCTGCGCCGAGCCCGCGGGTTTGGCCCTTCAGCGCGGGGGTAACGCCCGCCTCCCGCCGTCCGTCGGTGGCAGCGCCGCCTCCCAGCGTGCCGAGGACACCCCGGCCTCCGGCCCTGTAAGTACGGGAAGGTTTTCTTGTTCTTCGTGGGCAATGCAGTGAGCTTTTCAAGCCTTTAAGAAACAGGCTGTACTTAGGTCACTCAGATTATATTTAGAAACTACATAGAATCATTTAGGTTGGAAAAGACCTTTAAGATCATCGAGTCCAACCGTTACCCTAGTGCTGCCACGTCTAACCCTGTGCCTAAGCGCTATGTCCACACGTCTTTGAAATGCCTCCAGGGATGGTGACTCCACCACTTCCCTGGGCAGCCTGTGCCGCTGCTCGGCAACCCTTTAGCTGAAGAGTTTTTTCCTAATATCCCATCTAAACCTGCCCAGGAGCAACTTGAGGCTGTTTCCTCTTGTCCTGTTTGTTGCTGGTTACTTGGGAGAAGAGACCAACACCCACCTTGCTACAACCTCTTCAAGTAGTTGTAGAGGGTGATGAGGTCTCCCCTCAGCCTCCTCTTTTCCAGACTGAATGACTCCAGTTTCCTCAGCTGCTCCTCGTAGGACTTTTGCTCTAAGACTTGTGCGATAAAAATTGGCATGGCTTGGCATAATTTGTAGGATGTGAAAAGTGGCCTCAATTATCAGGATTTGGTGTCAGGGAGCTGCAGGATGTGTAGGCCTATGTCAGCATTTTTTATTTATTTGTGACAGTGTTTTCTAGGCTTGCATGTTCAGTAAGACCTTATGTTGCATGGCTATAGAAAGATACGCTCTTAGAACTTAATTTTTGAGAATGTGTGCAGAGTAATATCAGTCTAGTGATCTCAAAGGTAAAAAGATACATAGCTCTAATAATATATGTTCTATTTAAGTCCTAGGGGTTTTTTTTCAGAAAGTCAAAAATGAACCATGTGTTGGGTAACTTTTATTTCCCTTTCTTTAGACCACGCTGGAATCTTCCTTTTCTACGTGAAACACAGTCATGACAGATCAAGAGTATGTTCTTTGCACATGGAAGAAGCGTTTATGGCCAGCAAAGGTAAAATAGATATATATATGAGGAAAGACTTGTGGATGTAACTTCGAAATGGATGAAACAGAGTAGTAAGAGCTCCAAGTAAACATGTAGATACTTTTAAAAAGTGCTAATCTGTAGAGATCCTTATACTGCAACCACATGCCATGGAATATCAGTCTGTTCTGTGCCATTCATATTAAAAATGTTTTTATGTCAGATCTGTCCTCTAGTCTAACAGTCTTGATCAAGGTTTTAAAATGCATGTTTTTTTTCTTTAATGTAGGTTTTGTGCAAAACGGGGGTACTTAGGAAAACATCTGGTGCTAAAGCGACAGAGGCTTCTTTTAAAGTTGAAATACTTGGCTTGAAAGAGCAGTTAAGTATCCTTTTTACTGTTGTATCTTTACACGCGGACTTAAAAAAAAAAAAGTAGTAATCCCTTTATCTGAAGATATCTGTGGAATGAGATCATTGATTTACAGAAGGATTAGATGGCTAACCCAAAACCTATTGCTCTCTTAGACCTGGCCATATACATCCATGAACAGCACACTGTTAGCTCAGGCATTCTTTATGTGGGGTTTTTTTCTTTAATTTCTGCTAAAAAGTACAGGTTTTGTGGAAGAAAATATTGCAAGTTTATTGCCAGATGAAAGCAGTGTCATGCTGCTAGTAATGCTTAACACTGTGATGTTTTCAGCTGGCTTTGTTGTATTCTCAGGGTTTGTGTGAACTGTGCAGATGCTGTACCGCTGAAGGAAGAATGTATAGAAAACATCGCCTCTAACTTGGGTGAGGGTATGTCAAAACATTTCCTGCCTTGTGTTTATTCTGGATGTAAAACATACACAAAAACCCAATCTAGGGGACAGTAGTTGTATATTTCACTTCTTGAGGGTTTTTTTTTTTGCATTTCTCTTCCCCTCTTTCCAGTCCATCCACAGAGTTTGAAAATCAACTAAATGTGATCACAGCTACTTTTGCTCTTCCCTTGTGTAGTGTGTTGGAAGGAGTGGTGAAAAAGCTTGTGTGTACTTGGATCAAAATAAGGTGTTGGAAGCTTGTACTTTGTGTGTCTCTGTATACTTTGCCTTAAGAATCATGGATGATTTAAGTGTTAAGCTGCATCTTAAACAAAAGATATAATCAAGATAAAATTTCTTATTTCGTATACATGAAGAAAGCTTATTGCATATTCTTCTTCATCAGATCAAGGGAGAAATTTGAGTGAGGCCGTGGAAGAACTGAAATATCGCCGTTCCCTTAAAATTGCCCTGGATGTTTTGAATCAAAATGCCTCACCCAGACAAGTACCACCTTCAGGAAGAGGACCAAGTACTCAGTTATCCGAGGAAAACAATGCAGGATCTCTCTCATCTACCCCCTTACGTAGATGTCGATCGCTTTTTTGCTCTAAAGAAAAGTTGGAGCCAGAGACTTCCAAGAAAAGAGAACAAAAAAATAACCCCAGCCTGAAGACTGATACAAAAAACCAAACTCAGAAAGGTTCTTTTATTTTGGAGGAGAGTGCTAAAGCACATGAAAGTGGAACAAAACCTTCCAAACGTCGTACTGTGGACTTGTATGATACACCAAACTCAGACAGTCAAAACTGCAAAATACTAGAATCAGAATCGCTACAAAGACAGAAAAAAATCAAGCCCAGATTGTTGACAAAGTCCAAACCAGGAAATAAAGTCTCCCTTAAGGCCAAGGAGGAAAAAAGGAAGCAAGGAAGAAAAAGACCAAGAGGCACAAGATCAGCTGTGTCG